GTTAGCAGCAGGGCCCTTATAGAGGCGGCACCAAGGTTGTGGTATAACCTCCAAGACCCCTGTCCTCTCCCCCGGCCTTCCCTCTACGCTGAGTGAGTGTGAGCTAGCTCACAGTTCTTTTAGCCTCCGGCTCACACATTTTTGTCTCCGCTCAGGAAGGACGGCTCCAGAGCAAACTGATTTATGCAGTAGCCAAATCGCTCGCTCACAACTTGAATGCCGCTAGCTCCCAAAGTAGAATTTTTGCTCACAAGACTCCATAGCTTAGAGGGAGCACTGCTCCCCACCCAATAGAGGGGTACATCTCTTGGGCTACTTTTAAGATCTCCAGACATGAAGTCAGTGTTGTGTTGTTAGAACATAGGACTATGATCTGGGAGACCCAGATTCAAATCCCCGCTCTGACATGGAACCTTGAAGAGAAGAAGAAGAGAAGAGCATGGATTTATACCCCGCCCTTCACTTGGAGTTTCAGAGCGGCTGGCAAACTCCTTTCCCTTCCCCTCCCCACAACAGACACCCTGTGAGGCAGGTGGGGTTGAGAGAGCTCTGAGAGAAACGGCTCTTTTTCAAGAACAGCTCTGACAGAACTATGGCTTGCCCAAGGTCATCCAGCAGGTGCAAGTGTAGGAGTGGGAAATCAAACCCGGTTCTCTCAGATTAGAGTCCGCGCACTTAACCATGACACCAAACCTTGGCCCAGACACACCCTCTCCGCCTAACCTACCTCACAGGGTTGTTGTGAGCATACCGTGGAAAAGAGGAGACTGATGAAAGCCACTTTGTGCCCTCTTTGGGGAGAAAGGCGGGGTATCAATAAAGCAGAAATAAAATCTAAAAACGTATTTCATGTAATCATTGGACTGTCTGATTAAGTGCCGCGCTACAAACTGAGTGAAGCAGAAGTCAACAGATGTTGCAATTTTCCTGCTCTTTCTGTCTTGTTCTGCGTTGTTATTGTTCTCAGGATATTTTTGTCATCATAAGGCACTTTGTTCTTGTGGAAAAGCAACATTAAAAATACATTTAATTGGAGATGCCAGAGATTCCATGAGGAACAGGGCCTTGAATTAAAAGCATGTGTGCTCTCTTGCTCCCTCTCTCTCGCTTGACCTGCATGAGACATCCAAACGACGCGGATGAGCCCTAACTAATTTCACAGTCATGAATTCCATAACTATAAAATGTTATCTATGAACTGTGAGTGGATAAGGCGTACATCAACATTTTAAAAATTAAACTTGCCTTCCAAAGTAGTATTTGTTGCATGTCAAGCTCCTAAACTGATGGGATACTAGGAAAAAGAAATAAAAGCAAGAGCGTGGGGAAAAGAGGAGGACACAAAGACATGAAACACCGTAGAAAAGCTAAACCTCTATCCACCTTCACGGCAGAAGACGTGTGTGCGCACATGGAAGCCTATACCTGGAATTAAGCTCTGTTGGTCTCAAAGGTGCCGCTGGACTCAAACTTTGCTCTGCTGTTTCAGACCAATACAAGAGAGACATGAGGGAGCCGTAGGGAGGAAAGAAGAGATGAGACTCACAGTCAGTGTTCCCTTCCCTCTAAGCTGAGTTAGTGTGAGCCAGCTCACAGTTTTTTAGCCTCCAGCTCACACCTTTTTATCTTGGCTCAGGAAGGATGTGGCTCCAGAGCAGACTAAAGCGCTTAGGGCTGTTTAGCTTGGAGAAAAGACGACTGAGGGGCGACATGACTGAGGTTTATAAGATTATGCATGGGAAAGAGCAGGTAGAGAAAGAGGTACTTTTCTCCCTTTCTCACCAGACAAGAACTCGTGGGCACTCCATGAAATTGCTGAGCGGTCGGGTTAGAACAGATAAAAGGAAGTACTTCTTCACCCAAAGAGTGATTAACACATGGAATTCACTGCCACAGGAGGTGGTGGCGGCTACAAGCATGGACGGGTTCAAGAGGGAGTTAGATAAGCATATAGAGCAGAGGTCCATTGGTGACTATTAGCCACAAGGTATAGATAGGGACTCCGGGGCAAGTGATGCTCTGTATTCTTCGTGTTTGGGGGGGGCAACAGTGGGAGGGCTTCTAGTGTCCTGGCCCCACTGCTGGACCTCCTGATGGCACCTGGTACTTTTGGCCACTGTGTGACAG